GGTTTGTGATGAATGTTAACTACCGTCAACAGTGTCCCAGAACTAAAACTAGAAATGATTGTCAAGCTTGCATGGGTCTTGTAGTAATTGGAAATCTTAATGAAAATTTTACCCTTGAGAAGCTCTATAAAGATACCGGTGATCCTTCAAACTAAACCAGTACATGCAACTATGAGCAGTTCAATATTGTGTGGCCATACTATAAAAATCCTTGATTTGATAAATTTCAAGTCACTCCCAGCAAAGTATATATTGAAGAGATGGATACGGGAATTACATAGTAGGACAATATAAGACATCCAAGGCCGAAATATAATAGAGAATCCAAAATTAGATGATATGCTTCGCTACAGATATATGACTCGCAAATTTCTTAATTTGGCACATCGAGCTGTTTGTCATTTAGGGTGCACCTTATTAGTAAACGACACACTTAACATACTTAGCAAGCAAATCGAACAAAAAAATAAGTGATTTTCCTAGTATTATGGATCCTGTCATTATTCTCACAAATGCTGCTCCTCTATTGATTTGGTGAGTACAGCAAGCCTAAAGAAAAAGGAGGTGCAAACAAAAGCTCGAAGCACAAAAAAAACTTGGCTTGACAAGTCAGATTGTGTTGCCACATATGAGTATGGGAAGGAACAAGTACAAAATGTTTTGAATGAAGTATCTTCTAGAGTTTCTCTAACTGTAGACTTCTGGACCTCCAAACAGACATTAGGCTATTTGTTTGTCACTTGTCATTTCATCATGGATAATTGGATAATCCACCAAAAAAAATATCAATCGCTCTCATAGAGACACCTCATGATGGTAGGAACATTTTTAATGCAATGTTTAAGAGTTTGAATGAGTGGAATCTGGAATATAAAGTTTTTACAATAACATTAGACAATTCTTCAAATAATGATTCCTTTGTGAAGTGTTCGTAAGAAAATCTAGTAGCCAAGCGTTTGCTTCTAAGTCAAGGCGCCTGCAGTTTGCCTAATTGACTTCTTCCTTATTGCAAATTCAGGCGCCTGCATGATCTCCATGCATGTTCCTACGCCTAACTCCTGCCTGCATGATCTCGTTGGCCTCTTCTTGCCTAACTAGCCCCTATTCCTGCGCCTATAACTATTCCTGACCATAACATATAAACAAAGATAGAGCAAGTAAAAATAAGTAATTTTTATTTGTTGTAGGTATTAAACATGAATTTCTACTAGTCATGTGACATGTCTCCCAAGGTTCTAACTCACACTGGCTGATTGACTAGTTACAAATAATTGCACTGGTTGTGGTCCCGTGAAGAAGAGAAATAAAATCATGGTATCATAATAAAAATACACCTATTACATCGGATGCACGATTGCACTGTACCGTACGTTATAAAGGCACTCCTCGACGTTTCCTCCCTGACAAGAGAACATGCTGACGCATACCCTGATCACAATTTGGAACAAAGTGACCAAAACAAGTGTGAGGTGGTATCCTTGATTGCCATATAATCATAATGAACTCCCCTTTTGGCCTAGCAGTAGGATCTACCATAAGTTCTCGAATTGTCACCTTTGGTAGTTCCTTCTTCACTGAGTCATCATGGGCTTTTGTACTCCACGCCAAGTGAAATGGAGCATATTTTCCCAGAGAGACCAGCACAGATCAAATTAGTAGCACTAATCCATATGAGCTGCACATTTCTCCTTTCCTGATATTTTACTCTTTTTGTCCATATCAAACATAACTTGTATATGGATTTGATGCAAGATGTTAAGTTGAGGTACAGCTTGTAAAAGAAATTCATGCAGACAGATTGCAGATGCTTGTCAAGGTGTTTTAAACTTGTGCATATGACTACTGCAAGTGCACTAGCTTAGCTAGTTGGTCCCTGGAACTCTATTTTTTCATGCAATCAAATAAAAGACTTTGCTAAGAAATTATGTCATTTTTATTGAGATGAACCATACAGAAAAAATAAAACCTCTCCTAATTACTGCTTTTTGAAAAGTCAAAGTTTTCTTTAAGAAATAGAACTAATTGATTTTCAATATCTTTGAGAAATACTTGTGTCCAGAGCATACAAACTGCAATATATGTATATTAGAGTCCATAATTACTTTTAGTATGTTGTTGTTCCAGATTTTAACAAACAAATTACAATGAACATTGACTTTACTTTCCCAACCAAATAAAAATTTGTTTTTGAAGTTTTCTTTTGGGTCATATCAGTATCCAAAAGTAATTTTTGACTGTTGGGAGAATTATATTAATCAATCAAAGTGAAGATATTTTTTGAAATATTATTTATAAAAAAAGTATAACATAGAATGTCTTTACCAACAACCGCAATGTATGATTTTTCTCTCTCCTTGGAATGTAAGGTATTTCTTGTGGAAAGCCAATGTGGAAAATTTTTGTGTTTAACCTCTGAAGTTCGATCAAATAATATAATATGCCTTTAATGAAAGTTGTGGTTAGCTTACATTTTTCTCTTTTGATGAAGTGAGGCCAGCTTATGTATCAATAAGGAGATCACATATTACATTTTAAAAAGAAATTATGTTTAGCTTAGAATTTGGCATTTCATATTTATCTTCCATATATATGTGAACCCAATATTGCTAGGCATACCAATGCAAGCCACAGCATATATATAGTACACTGGAAATTGAATCGAGTAATAACTAGACATGCATGAAAGATGAAATTAAAATGGATGTCTGACTAAATAAATCATTGTTAGTTTCAATGTAAAATGCTTCACTTCCAACCATTCTTTTTCAGTTCAAGTACAGCCATGGATGTTTTGATGGTAAAAGAAGTAGGCGAAGTTTTAATGGGGGAAAGGGAGGAAGGAAGGACCTTGCGCTGCTTCCAGGAGAGAAACTGCGCTGCGGAGATGGGCTGCGCCCTTGCCGTGGTCGCGGGCTCGCCGGCGGCGGGCTGCGGCGGGGGAGTACCCTCGGCTTCCGCTCCCATCGCGAGAACGTGCGAATCTCTGGGGGAAGAAGTTGTGACGACTGGAATACGGAGAAAGGAAACTGCCTACGGAACGGATCGGGCGCGATAGATCAAATCAAACCAGAACCTGTTCTAATCCAAAAAAAAAACCGGAACCCGTTCTGTTGAGTTGTTCTCTCCTAAGAAATGGTAAAAGGCAACGCCGCAACGGGTTTGGTTTGCCACGTGTATGGTTTCACATAATTTTGATTGGTGCCATCGAATTTTGGCAATTGGCATGCACTTGCTTATTTGATCCCACAATTCCACATTCACACATGGCATCCATGGCCAAGCCCAAAGCTAGGTATGTTTTAAATAGCAAGTTATAGCATTTAGTGAGGAGCTCTGCTCGATCGCTATATCCTACTGTTTAATACGATACTTTGCATAAACAAAGTCATAAACCGAAAGATAAAATAAAAATATGAATTTGTTGTTAGTTAAGAACTGACAACTTGATTAGGAGACGGTAAACATGGTTGTTAAAAAGCATCAACGCATGCCCTATGTGTCTTGGTGATGTCTCTCTCTTGGTGACGGTGAGTGCGAACGGTTGCAAGATGATGTGATTCGGCGGATCGATGCACATAGATTGTGTTTGATGGGTTCGAAATTACCATATATGATACACCGACGACAGCAACAACAAAATGTAGGATACTAGTAGGCTCCTGGTATGTATGGATGCTGCTCGTAACAACGGGACGACTGAGAGATCACTACTCATGATGGTTGCCCGGTGTCAGGTTGTGCGCCTAAATGCATACCAAAGTGGCGACTGGTGTAAAGGAATCGCTAGACGACAACACATGTGACGAGTATGCAAGGATGTGGTCATCCATTGGAAAGTAAAAGAAAACAGAAAGAAGGAGAGGAAATCAGGGTGATGGAGAAAAAAAATCCTACGCATCATCGACTATAAGAGGTTCTTGTCATGCCGAGTAGACGAGTATCTTTTAACACTTTTTAGTTATAGATAGGTAGAGTGTACGGCTGCAGCTGTACTGTGAAGTTGTTTCGTTACAGGCCATAGCCTGCCACGCCCTATGTGCGGCGGCGCCGTGGATTGGTGTCTAAAACCACCGTCACACTTTGTGGCGAGTTTCTACTCTATCTTATCTGTGGCCGCCTCAACACCTTTCATCTTGTGGCGTGCCGCTAACACTTTTCAGTTATAGGTAGATAGATAGAGTGTTCGCTCGGCTTAACGGCAATGGCTAAAGTACTATAAGGTTGTTTCGTTACAGGCCATAGTCTACCATGCCCCATGTGTGGCGGCGGCGCGGATTGGCGTCCAAAACCACCACCATACTTTGTGGCGGGTTTCTACTCTATCTTTTTTATGGCCGTCTCAACTTCTTCAACAACCGAACAACAGTTTTCATCTTGTGGCGTGTCGCTGGTTGTGGCGTGGCAATTAGCGGTGTGCAACCAAACAACCCCTATAGCCGCAGCCGAACAGCCCAAGAGAGATTGTAGGCAGAGACAGTGAAGAGATAAAACCTGATAAATAATAAGGCTGTGTTTAGTTGGAGGGAAAGTTGGAATTCGGGTACTGTAGCACTTTCGTTTTTATTTGACAAATAGTGTTCAATCATGGACTAATTAGACTCAAAACGTTCGTCTCGCAATTTTCCATCAAACTGTGTAATTAGTTTTTTTTTCATCTACATTTAATACTTCATGTATGTATCGCAAGATTCGATGTGATGGATACTGTAGCACTTTTTTGGAACTTTTTTTTGAACTAAACACGCGCTAATGGGAATAAATTAACACGGCCAAACAAACCAGAATAACCACCCATGATTCGAGTTCATGCTAACCTCGCCGCCATATCCCGTGCGCTGTCGACCGTTGGCCTCTCTGCATCTGGCTTCCATAAAGGCATCTGCCGTGCCGCATGCTCTGACCACTCTCCCCGCGTCCCACCAACCAGTCCATTCCCCACCGGCCTGCTGCCCGCCCACCCCACTCCACTCCGCTCCTCCCACTCGAACGGTCGAGCCATCATGGCCCTCGCCTCCCGCGCCGCCGCCGCCGCCGCCGCCGTGGCGTGCGTCCTCCTGGCGCTCACCGCCTCCGCCGCGGGGGCGGGCTCCCACTCCCCTGCCCCGGCGCCCGCGGTGGACTGCGTCTCCCAGGCCGCCACCCTCCTCGACTGCCTCGACTACGTCCAGCCGGGGAGCGCCGCACGCCGGCCGTCCGCTGCCTGCTGTGGCGAGGTCAAGACCGCCGTGGCCAGCCCCGTCATCGTGGGCTGCCTCTGCTCCCTCGCCGGCTCCAAGAACCTGGGCCTTCCCATCGACATCAAGCGCGTGCTGGCGCTCCCCGGGGCCTGCGGCGCGTCCAACGCCGCCTTCAGCAAGTGCAACAGTGAGCACCGCCCGAGCCTTTCCTCCTCCCTGCGTCTCCTAGTGCTTGTTTCTTCTTCCTTAAATTTCGTCATGTCTCATCATGTGTACAAGAAACTTAGTACTATGCCATCTCCTCCAAAGTTTCTCCTCCCCCCCTCGAGAATCCATGCCTAAATTATGGATTTCTTTTCTTGGGATTTTACAGTTCCTTTGATTTTTCTTAAGAATTTTATAGCAGTGTAGATAAAGGTACTTTTTTTTAATTAAGTTGGTTTGGTTATCCTCTGTTACTAAGCAATTTTGATATGATCTAACAGTCTCATTCTTTTGCTTTTGCTTTTGCTTGCAGTTTCCGCGCTTTCCCCAACCGCCGAAGGTAACTCTACTCCACTCTCTAGATCTCCTCTATCTATCTGTTTCAGTATTTTTTTACGTCCGTCTAATCTCTGTGTAAGGACTAATGACATGCGCCTTTATTATACCGTGGATGAAGGGTAGGGTTGTAGCAACAATTGGAACATACTGATCATGCTCTATGAATTTCGTTGTGTATTTTTAGATCTTCAAGTATGAACAATTGAACAGAACAGACATATTATGTCAGTACTGTATAACTTCAACTGGAAAAATAGGATCTGAATTTTTAGATGTCTTTTTTTCAAGAATAAAGATTCTTTTTAATCGAGGGGGAAAAAAATTAGCTGTCACAGAGTACAGTACAGACATGTCAAATGCCAACAAAAATGAGTTGTCTTTCTGCCAGAAGAAGCTGAGCTGTGACATGCTGAAAACATCTTCACATGCATGAGTAGTGTTCCGTTCCTTTGGCATAAATATGGGTCCGCAACAGTGTTCTTTGCCCGCAAACAATTCTCACCGTTTTTTTTTTTCATTTATCGCCTTTGTATCTTTGCGAGTGATTGGATCGCATGTGCATACGAGTGAAAAAAAACTTTTATGCCTCAACTCACTGTACCCCATGCTTCGATTGGGGTAAAACTGTCTGTTAGCGAATGGTTCAGTTCTTTAACCATCGCCTGATTCAGTTGAGCTGTTGAAAGCAATCCGTAAGCTAGTACATTGTTAGACCGAATGTGTGTGAGGTGACTCTGCAGCTCATCTCAATCTCGTATGAGACAGACAGTTTTATTACTTCAGCAGAGTAGTGGCTCATGGCATTGGTAGTAGTATATTCTTAGGTTAGCATTCCAACCTGGAACATTTCATTGTTTGTCCTTAATCTAGTACTGGGTCGTTGATGGCCGTGCAAAAGAACCATTACTTAGGCCATGTTTAGATTGAAAAAAATTTCAACCCGATGAATAGTAGCACTTTCGTCTTATTTGGTAAATATTGTCCAATCGTGGACCAACTAAGCTCAAAAGATTCATCTCGTGATTTCCAATTAAACTGTGCAATTAGTTTTTTTTTACCTATATTTAATGCTCCATACAAACGGCTAAAAATTGATGTGATGGGAGATAGTGAAAAAACTTGGAATTTTGAGGGTATCTAAACAAGGCCTTAATTCCTGGAGATCTGCACAGCTGTCACGGGCACAGTCTGACTGGCAAGTCACGGGAGTACTCGGCCTTCAATCAATCAAAGTAGACGCAGCCAGCATTTCTCTTAATGCCTGTGGAATATGTTGACTAGATCTGTGGCCAAACTGGAGTGAAGAACCGTCCTGAAGCGAAGGCAACCACGGGACTGAATGGCCCATCCTGCAATGGCTTACTAGATATTTTGGTTCAGTTGCAATGTCTGGTGCTTGCTCCCTCCAGTAGTTTCTTCCTTGTCTCTGTGTGAACACTTGTTTGCGAGCCTAGGAAACTGACAACCCTCATGGTTTCCCACCATATTCCTTTAGCTCTGAAGCAGGGACAAACAAGAGATAGTAGTGGTGTTCAGCAAGCTTCTATGGTAAGGAACGCGATGTGTAGCCTTGTGTGAAACTACGGGTAAAAAATGGTTGCAGGATGTATAATTTGAAACTGCTATTGTCCCTAGGTTATCTGACGAGAAATATATGTATGGATTGAACTGTAAAACTGTTGGTTCTGACCACCAGTTGTTGTTTCCCATTGCAGCACCTGCACCATCAGCCGGGGGATCATCGAGTGGCGGGGCGGCTGCATCACCACCGAAGGCCGCGGCGGCCAGTTCTCCAATGACGGCGACCGTGCTGGTGGCTGCCGTGGCGGCTCCGCTGCTCGCCTACTGCTACCTCTTCTGAGGATCTCTACTGCCTCGCATCGCATGCTATGCCGTCCATGCTGTGGCTGAGTGACTATGTATGACGATTAATTTACCTTGTGGAGCTGCGCGTTAGTTCAGTTACCCTGTTCTTGAGATAATGTTGTTGATTGAGGTGGTGGTGTTCGGTGTTCTATATTTAGCTGACTCCCCGTGCTTGAATTGATACGGTTATCGGTTTTGAGTCTTGCCAAAGCCATGGGTTGTGCGATTCGCCGCCTGCCAATAGCATCTGGCGTGTTTGCGTTCGCGCTTTTGCCCTGGCCGGCGCGGCCGTACATGCTCTGTGGTCACGCTGAGCGGCGAAATCGGCTAAAACTTTATTATTGGGCCATACGCTAGTACTGAGTACAAAGCAAAAGGACCATGCGCTTGTTAGGCTAAAATTAGTGGACGAATAATTAGCGGGCCCGACGCGGCATAAAAGGCAAGCAGACCCTAACGTTTTGCGCTGAAGCTGTGCGCTCGCGGCTCGGCAGCACATCTGCACATGCATAGCAAGGCCAGTAGCCCAGTACCGTCATGTGGGCCGTTGCATGGTTCGGCCCATGAAATGAATAGCCAGGAAAGCGTCTCCATAGCTGCATCAAGTGATTCTCAAAAAAAAAAAAGTGATTCTCAAAAAGTTCTAAAAAAAGGAAAAAGTCCATATTACATCCCTTAACTTTTGTGAAAGTCTACTTTTCCTCCCTAAACTCTAAAACCAGATAAACTACCTCCCTAAACTTTTAAAACCGTTCGTTTTACTTCCCGATCGGTTATAAGTGGTTTTCAAAGACGGTTTTGTCTTTTTCTTTTTTATTTGTTTTGGCTAAATCATTGAAAAATCATAGTAAATCATAGAAAAATTATAAAATAGAAAATCTAATTTTGTTGGACTCCACATGAGTAGATCTACACAGTGAACATATAATATAGTATGCTTTAGTACATTTTTTTTTGTTTTAGCTTTAGATCTGTGTTTTTCTATAATTAATTCATAGCTGCAGTTTTAATGGTCCAATTATTGTGAAATTTAACCGTTTCTTTCATCTTTGACCGTTTCTTTCATTTATTTTTCTTTTCAATTTTTTTCTCTTTGCAATTTTATACTTTTGTTTTTCCTACGTTGTGACGGTTAAAAGAATAGTATTCCCTAACCTAATTGTTTCAGAGTGTTATCTACCTACCTATAGTACATTGGTGCTATGTATTTATCCTTTGTATTGAGTTAGAATGTTCGAATCGGTTTTCATTAGTTGGTGTTCCCGATTTAGATTATGGGTCTTCGACCGTTTTATCGACGTGTAGGGCTGGACGAAAAGCTGGCAGCTCGTTCGACTCGGCTCGTTAGTGGCTCGGCTCTCAACGAGCTGCCAGCTCATGAGCTTAACGAGCCAATGTTGTTTACCTTAAACTTATATTAGTTTTGTATGGTTTGATGTCTTCACTTTACAATTGATTGATGACTAGATCTTACGGATGAAGACAGATCGGATACGGACGGATATCACTGATATTACATTTGTTTTCATATTTCTGTCTGGATTCGAATTCGAATACGGATAGTATCAACCACGCCGGATAGGATACAACTGGATATCGACATCATAAATATGCGATCTGAGTATTTGAATACGGATACGGTATCGGATGTTGAATATCCGAACTCGGATACGGATAGATCTGAACCCCTCTAAATGGATTCGGTCTCGAATACGGTCGAAAAATATCCGTACCATTTTCACCCCTGCTAGATCTAGATCATATAACCTTGGGATTACTATGACTATCACTTTGTTTTAAATGGATTATGGATTCATTATGTATGGTATCGAGTATGAAACATGAATGTATGATGTAGTACTATGATATGTTGTTATACTTGTATATAAGTCAACATATATTAATTTATTTGTTTGATTTATGGGCTTATGGATATGTTGCTTTTGTATTATTACTATTCTCAAACTTCAAATAAATATATATTATATTCTATGCATTTTGTATGTCTTGGCTCGCAAGCCAAACAAGCCGAGCCAAGCTAGGTCATTATCAGCCCTATCGATGTGTTCCCGATTGTTGCGTTTTTAATTTTCGTTCGTTTTCTCGACCGCTTTCTTAATTATGTTTCGGAATAAAAATATAAACTCAAAAGTGGTTAGAGGTTTTCTATGACTGTTTTCATCCCTACTCATTGAGTCTGAACCCATCTATAAAGATATTCTATTTCTATATTTAAAGAAATGTCTATGATATATATATGAACTGATCGAGAATTCAATTAGTATTTCCATTGCATTTGAAATATTTTTTATAAACGCATTGCACGGGCATATTTGCTAGTATATTATATTTTGTGCATTTTGTATGTCTTGGCTCGTAAGCTAAACAAGCAAGCCGAGCCAGCTCGTTATCAGCCCTGTCCATGTGGTCCCGATTGTTGCGTTTTCAATTTTAGTTCGTTTTTTCGATCGACTTTCTTAATTCTGTTTCTGAATAAAAATATAAATTCAAAAGTGGTTAGAGGTTTTCTAGGACTGTTTTCATCCCTACTTTTCCAGCGTAACGACGGGTGGCTAGCAGAGGCCCACCCTGGCTCTGCACCGTGGTCTTGTGCGTGCTGCAAATGGGTCGGGCGTCTTGCTCCGCCGAAACCCAAGCTTACGTGGGGTACAACTGCATGGGATATACTTCCTCGGTTCTAAAGTAATTTTTTTAAAACAAAGGTTATTATCTTCTTTTTCTCTTGAGGATATCTCTTGGATTTTAGCACATGTCGCTATTAGTTTCTACATTAGAGGACGATGTTTCATATTTTTTTGTAAGTGCAATGTTATTTTTTAAGATAGATCTTTAAATGTTATTTATAGTAAGATGGAGGGAGTTCCGTGCAAAGAAAAGTATGGTCACCCTCACCAATAGTGACAGCTTGCTTGATCTTTTTACTAAAATATCATGATTGGTAGTTGTTTACACCAGAATTTAAAAGAAGAGTTGCAGGGATTTGGAAGCTCCCGAAAATCATGTCATCAAGGAATCAGCTGCGTGGAGATCGGAGCTATTTGATTCGGACGCAGCACTATAATCGGCTTTCTTCAGATAGCGCCAGCAGATAACGACAGAGGCTACGATCGGCGCTGGGACGAGACATGCTGGACTCTATAAAAAAGGAAAGATTAGAGTCCAAGTTATCTTAAATTAGGAATGTTTTCATTATGCCAAAGATTGTAATTGAGTCGTACTCGAGTAAGGTTCGTTTTTAGGCTCCGGGTATAAATACCAAACCCCAGCTATTATAAAAAAACACAATCAATCAAATACAAGTCAATTACTTTTTTCGGCTCCGGCCACCCCTTAGGAGTAGGAGTAGAGTAGATCTCGGCGAGTTCTTCAGCGAGTATGGCTGCATCGATCCGGTCGACCTCCACTGCTTGTCTGTAAGTACCGTCATGGTTTATACCTCTGTTCGTATGGCTGCATCGATCTGGTCGATCCCCACTGCGACTCTGGTATAGGTTAGTTATCGACTCTTTGTCTAATTCAAGTATGGCCTGTATGATTCTGCCTCACAACCCACTGCTTGAATTAGACCAAGGTCAAGTTATCGGCTCTACCTTAGTATGACAGTCTTTGATAGATTTATTAAGTTACCGATATTGCTTATTGTTTTTATTGTTTATCTAATTACAGCAATATCACTCTGCCCGATTGAGATTGATCTGGATCGGCCTTATATCTTGTTTAACTCATCGTTTGCTAATCTAAAATTGATCTAATCTACATCTTAAGCGATGCGTTATATTTTTATCGGCTGTTTTGCGTTAATCTTAATCGTGCATAGCGTGCGGTTAAGGCATATTCGATCTTGAATAGATCAATTAGTTAATGAAAACCGTTCCATGGCCTGTCATCACGGCCTGTGGGATTCTGCCTCTCACCTCACTGTTGGCACCGTGGAGTGGGGATCGTTAGTTGGTAGACCCGTTTCTAAGAAGGCATGACCTTAACTGTGCGCTATGCCTGAATCGGCTGTTTAGCCGATATCGAATGCTTTCACGAACAGTTCACATTACGAGATCATTAAAGTAGAGATAAGTTGAAAGATATGTTAGCCCCATGATCTTATTATTGTATTACGGCCTGCATGATTCTGCCTCATGCCCCCACTGATATTAGTAATGGGTTAGGGTCGTCGAGTCTATTGTTGTTTCTACGGCCTGCATGATTCTGCCTCATGCCTCACTGGTCATGGCGATAGATGAGATCTAACATGTTCATTAGATTTATCTTTATTAAATGCTCAAATGGTGTTGAATTGTTTCTTTAGATAAAAAGGAGTTCGGTTACTTGTAATTATTGGCTCAGTATAAACCGATCATCATCGATATCTTATTGCCATTGATTAATATTTGCTTAAATAATATTTATCATGAATGATAACCGATTCTTCTTATACAACCCCATGAGTTTTAATCGATTTATTCTTATGAATATGCTGGAATCGACTATTTAGTCGATCTCCTCTCATATCGGCTCTCAGAGCCGCACATTCGGGACTGTCTGGCAACACCGGCACGTTCCGCCCTTAATTACTGATGAGCTTTCTCTCATTGTCAATTGCAGGGTCAAATTGACTGGCACGTCTCGGGAGGATTGCGTAGGATCGACCACCCTTGCGCTAAAGCTAGGCGGATCTGCTCCATCGAGCAGACCCTTCCGGCTTGCTGCGTGTGTCCTCGGCACGGAGACAAAAATTCTGTGTCGACACATATTTTTGGCACGCCTGGTGGGACCCTATAATTGTCATGGCGGTTCACAATAACGACAATATCCTTATGGTACATTATGAAGACCTACCTGACGAAGATAAGGATACCATCAACAAAGCTACGGAAGAATTTCAGAAGAAGTGTTTGTTGTCCTACACCAAAACACGTGACGACACAATTATTCAGAAATTTTCACTACCAAGAGTTCTACTACACGGACAGACAGATA